AAGGAGCAGAGCAGGGCTCATCCATAATGCAGGAACACCCACTGCGCCCCAGCCTGTCGGGCAGGACGGCAGTTTTCAATATGAACAACAGTATTCTGGAAGGAGGATGGTTAAAAATAAGTATCTTATGCCTGTGCCACTATAAATTATTGACTGTACAGGGACCTGGAAAAAAGGATTCAGCTCCGTTAATAATTTATTTTCTAATCCAAAGGAAGACGGAATTTTATGCACCACTTATTACCAGCGCCGCAAACTGGAAAAACGAACTGCACTTCCCACCATCTGAAACCAGAATTGCCTTTCCATTTGCAAAACACGATTTGAAGTTTCTTCTCTAACTTGAAACACACAGTCCATCTTTTCCCTTGAGAAAGCACATGGTCATTCCTGAATATTTAGCAGGCACATTAAGGATACAGAAATCTATCTCTACTTTACAGCAGCATTACAGGCACAGCACGGTAGCTCCGAGATGAAGAGAACTACCCCTCTTCGCTCCGAGCCTTTTGCAAATGGACAGGTACCCCACCGGCAGGCAGATTTTCTTGTTTGAGAAAATCAATTTAAGTGGCGTTGAAAGATTTAGCTCCAATTGCAAAAACACCAGACGGGTCCTTCAGGCACGACGGTGCCTGGTTTGAACACCTGAGGATGGAGGTGGTCCAGACCACGGCAGAGCTAGAAACTACCGGATCTTCACAGAGAGAGTCTTTACAATCGCTTGTATCATGTCTGAAGTATCGGCTTCTCTTTGGTGTTTGTGTCGTGATTGGAGAAGGGCAGGGGGAAGCTACCAAACTACTGAGAAGTATATTAAATAATGCATCAGTTTTGGTGTGTGTTTGGGAATTTAATGTTTTATACTATGGATACACAGAAATTTTTTCAAAGCTTACCTCTAAAGAAAACCATCCTTGATCCACCTCTCAAAGAACAGCGAGAAAAAAAGAGTCATGACTATAGCCAGACCCTTCCAACGCAGAAGCTCGAAACAGAAGGGAAGGAGTCCAGGTCTGCCCACACAGGCAGGAGGAACACATCCCGCCAAACCGAGCATTTTGGGTCAGGAAATGCTCCACCACAGCTGGTATTTGGTACAAAAATGGAGAACACGCTAATTCGTAGTTCAGCGACAATCCCCAACTGGAGAGATGAGTCTTCTCTGCATCTTCCTGAAGCTCAGGTAGGCAAAGCTTGTCATGGGGAAAGAACCAAGCACCTTGCTTAGAATTCTAATTTATTATTAAATTACATATCAAAGCTTTTTTTAATACATACAGAGAATGCACAATAGGCGAGAACAAAAATAATTAGTTACAACAAAATAAGTTTCAAGAAGCTATATGAAAAGCAAAAAAATCAGAAAGTGCAATCAGAAACTCATTTACCAGGGTCTGGACTGGGACACTTCATGAGAAAGGGGTTTGTTGTCTTGAGCGTTTATTTAAACTGCTTTCCTCACTCAGCAGCAGACAGACCAAGAGAACTGAAAGCATCACCCCTGGTTTCAAATACCCAGTCGACAGGAGAGATGCAGGGCAGCAGGGGGACTTGTGGATGTCACCTGGAATATGGCTCAGTTTAGTCTCAGTATGTCTTTCGCTGTAGTCCCCTGTACTGCCCGTTGCTCAACAGGGCCACTGCTCTGAAGGATTTCATGATCCGATACTGTTGTAAGGAGTTACACTTCCTCCTTCAGGAGAACTATTTCCAGTTTCAGAAGCGATACAGCTGACACCTTCCTGTTTCAAACAACAGCTTTGGGAAAAACCACAGTAAAAACTGGAAAAGGTCACGTATCAAGTGATCTTGCGAAACAAGGTGCTGGGTTTAGAGAGTTAACATAGTCCCGACTAAGTAAGTTACACAACCAGAAATAGCGGACCAGACTTGGCTGCCTGCGCAGCAGTTTTGGGGGAGCTTCAGGAACACAGCTCCTCAGAGGACGCAGCCCCAGAGCACAGGCGGTTGACAATTTAGCTGAAACTTTCACGTGACCTAAACATCTCCTTTTGCTTTTTCATTTTCAACATCCAAGGAGGAACTGACTCTTTCTTCTCACGGTCATCTTAAGACCGTTCAAAGGACTTCTAAAACTACAAACAAAAAATTCGAGGCGATTATTCAGTGTAATGAATCCAGCATGAATTTATACCACGCTTTGATATGCAAAAGCTCCTGAAATCAGTATTAGTTAAGAAAAAAATGTTACACCTTCCCAGGAAGGGAAAACTCCTAGGAATTTACCAGAAGCACCATACCGCTTGGTCCCAGAGACAGCGGGGAGGACAGCAAAGCCCTGCCTCCAGCCTTGCTCAGCACGCTCCCGCGAAGGGCCGGGGATCAGCCACGGCCGCGGCCTGGGCTACGGCCGCACAGACGCTCACTATGGCCTGAACACGCGACGCTGGGTGTTGCCCAAATGCCATCACTCTGCTCTAGCAACCGGCGCTCGAAGATCAGATAAATAGGTTAAAAAAAAAATAAATAGTCTGAAGAGCAAGGACAAAAATATTGGCATCTGCGTGAAGGGTGGCATCAAAAGCTATCAACATGGTCCCTTGTGTCCTACTGCCTGGCCCCGGGGTTGTTGGACAGGTTTAAAGTACGTGCTTGTCTACTGGCAGGAATAAAGCAGAAATTTAAAAAGCGTGTGTGTGGGAATGTGCCCTGTAGAAATATTACGGATTCACTCGCTTCATTTCTATGGCTTGGCAACAAATTTCTTAGCACAATTCTATTTGGTTGAGTTACGGAACTGCAACTTTGCCAGGAATTGCAGAACTGAGAATTCTTTAACTACATTTTTTTTCCTTAGAGCAAGAGGAACCACACAGAATGAAAAACGGAGAGAACATATTTAGCAACAGGAGACATACAAACCCATATTTTGGGATTCGAGATTAAAGACCTCAATCCGCTGTTTTCCTTTTACAGTCCATTGCTCTACCGACAGGTCCGTGTCAGAGACGTTCAGGAGAACCGGCCAGTCTCTCCCCTCAGCTACGGGCAAGCACAAGCACTTCAGAGGGCAAAGCAGAACGCCTGCTCACATTGCCACAGGGCTACGACAAGGCGATGAAGGGGAGACTACAAGGTTAATTAAATGTATTTTCCAACACAAAACCGTGTCTCAAAACCAACACAAATAAAAACTATGGAGGAGTTGCCAACACTGAAATCATTTCCAGTAGAGCTTTATCCGAGTTAATTCAGCATATTTCCGTTATTTTATACTAAAATATATCAGTTCCCCGTAACATTTTCATAACATGAAAAATCAATTATGTTTACATATTTATTATAATCTACATATTTTCCATAGCAGCTTTTCCACACAATAAGATTAAATATATGCACCAAATAATCAATTAAGCCCAGTAAAAAGACTGGTTATAAGATTAAATAAGTGAATTTATTTACGGTACTGCAAATCTCATATTGCCAACTATATAGCAACCAAATCCTACAAATCCTAAATAGAAGCATGACTGCTGATCAGAGTCCCTTAGGGTGGTGGTGGAATCAAAGAAAAAGCATCAGGGAGAAAAGGTTTGATCTCCCAACACACAGATTCATTAATAAACCTCCTTTATCCATCAAGGTTTTTCACAAACCCCTTTAATGAACGCTTCATGTCAAACCAGGAACATCCCCAAATCAACCAAATAATCGCCCTTTATTTAAAATACAAGCCCCACAGTTTTACAGGTATTAATTCCAAATGCTTTCTAATCCCAACAAGATGATTGATTAGAAGCCTTTGTTGACTTTTTAGCACAAAGTTATTAGTCTGCAAATAAGCCTTCAAATCCATACAAACATTTCAGGAGCAACAGTGTGGTTTTGCACACTACACAGGCACAAGTCTCTACTCCCTCCAACAGGTACTTCACAGACACTATAAAAAGCAGTAAAAAATTGCGTCCATCCCACCAGACTGTTCCAGAAGAGAACCTGGAGACGATCTGACAGTTGTGGGTAATGGCATACACGAAATCTGTTAAGGAGCATGTAAAGTGATTGTGAAAAGAGTTAATCAGCTTCTTAGAAAGATATTTCAGTGCCTCGGTTTGAATTTATTGGGTTATGATATGACAAATGGAAAAGAGCTGTTGAAAGAGCAGAAAGATCTGCAATTTGTGAATTTGCAATATCAAAGCCATTCCTGACCTCAGCTTTGTTTAGAGATGCCAACACAACAGGATTCATGTTGCATGTCTGGACAAAAAAAAAAAAAAAAAAAAAAATTTTCCCCCCCAGATAACAGTAAATAATACTTGTTTCACTATTCATACATTCAACTCTTTACTATGAGGAGTTATGTCCAAAAATTTTGCACGCAGATAGATTTGCCTCGGGTATAACCATCATAACTTTCGCTTCCAATCGACAGTTTAGATTATATCCTACTTACAGTGTAAAAATATTAACGCTATTAGAATAACTTTATGTAAATTACAATATAGACTTTTCAAACTGCTTATCATGTCTTTATAAAGACCTTTATGATGCCAGCCAAAATCAAAGTATTTACACCCAAAAGATGACTTTCAGGTGAACTTGTGTTTGGTCACTTTTCAGATGACTGAACATTATAGTAAACAGCTGCTAGGGCTCTGTGCTCCCTTTTCACAAAGGGGGACTTGTTAGTCCCTTTAAAGCCACAAGAAACCTTACAAATCTTCCTCAGAGGGCAGTTTGTTCATACCCTGTGCAAAATGTGAACTGAACAATCCTTTTTTTTTACTTTGAGGAATTCATGTGAAGCACAGTTTTCACAGCACAAATTATGCAGAACTAACCAGGATCTCAACCATGAGTTAAAAAAGAATTACAGAACATGTATTTAGTAATAAAGCAACCTGACGGCTTAAAGCTGCAACATTCTTCTCACAGGGCAAAAGTGTCGAGCACGGTGCTTGGCCTGCAGGGGAAACTGGCTTCCCGCAGAGTTTCCACCCAAGGCAAGCCTAACAATCTTTCTCCCCTTACCAGCCAACAACAGACCTCCCCAGCGCCGCTGAGCACAGGAACTGTTCTACCGGTTCTGGTAAGCGTCCCACGTTTACTTACCTTGCAGTGAGAAAGGGAATTAAAGACAAACAAATCCCACAAAATTTAACCAAAGGAAGATGTACGGCAGGGAAGGAGAAACACTGCAGCTTCAACCCAAAACCAGTGTCGCAGTCTACCATCATCAGCTCTAGACATCAGGCCGATTCTCCCAGCCGTGATGAGGAGGCCGTTTGAAGTCTGTCGCTTCCCCCACTCACTTCTCCTTGACTGGGGGGGAGGGATGGTGGTGATGAGTTTAGCAGAGTCCATGGGGGAACATCCATCAATGAAAAGCGTATAGCAGCAGTAAGATGGTACAGATGCCAATAATACCACCCAAGATGAGGGAATCTCGTCGTTTCCGAAGGTTGATCCTCTGAATCAGGCTGTTCACTGCTGGAAACCGATCTTTAAGAGTCTGAGTCAAGGTCTTATCAGCAAACAGTATCTTCACTAACAAGCCCCAAAGTCTGTATGTGGAAAACCCAATACTGCAAGAAATGCAGAACTACTCCCAAGCTGGAGAAAGCAGATGCAGTAAAAACCACCTGATGGATAGTTAGCAGGATTACAGCTGTACTTCACTAGTAACAGACAATCAGAGAAACAACAGAACAGAGCAGCTTAGAGTTCACATTGACACAGAATTCACCACTTGATCACCTAAATTACCAGCATTTGATATACTTTAATCTCCAATATGTGAGGCTTAGTTACTTTTAATAACTGTGTTTAAATGAGAATGAAAAAAAATAAATGGGGCAGTTACATAAAACATCTGTGGAATTTACTTAATGGAATTCTGTTACTGGTGAAGGGAACAACCAAAGGCATTTGACTGAGAAAATCAGGCACGTTGCATGACTACGCACTGTTCAAGTGCAGCACATAAGGAAGAACTCCTCCTACTGTAAAATCATAAAGACGTAAATCTATCTTTTAATGTACAAAATACAATTGCCAACAAGATAATAAACTTCAGAGCTTCATGTCTTTGGAACCAAGATTCTTTTAATGCCAAAGCTTATTGAATTTTTTTTTGTTCTTGCCAGTTGCTAAGAACTGTAATGAAATTTGGGTTATCAAGACATCTCTTCGGGATGTAATCTGTCTGATCAAATGATGCTAACGTTGTTCTTTGGGCCCTTATGACAGAGAGGAAGGAATAAGTGGGAAAATGACCAACATGCATGACTTGACAATCTGGCACATCCTTTAGCCATGAGCACAGAATATGAAGAGAAACCACAAGCCAAAATCTTAACATCTACAAGACTGTGACAGACAAGAGGATATTCAGGTCATGAAAACTCTTAGCTGTAAACCATAACAAGCAGCAATGTATGCCAAGCTTCAGCTCTGGAGTCTTGAAAGCAATAATCAAGAAGTAAAATGAAATTATACTTTCATGAAAACACGTAGCAGAGAAGGCCATAAAATGCCATTGCAGATCTCCACCTGAAAATTAAGCTACATTGATTTAAATGCAGTATTCAAATTTGAGTAAAAACAACTTATTCACCACATTCACCATTAAGATGCTTCAGTCCTATTATCAAGTGAGACAGGTAAAAAAAAAACAGTCCGTTTGCCACTAATGACAATGCCACCATGGGTTATACAGCCATTGACATCGCAAAGCATTTTGATCCTCAAATGACAAAGTGAAAAATTCTACTATACCTCATCTTAAGCACTGGCAGCACAAATTTTTAGGAAAGGATACTGGCCAGGGTGTTCATCTTGCTTTGTATTGACTTCAACATCCCTCTCTGCGAAGTCATATTTTCTTTAGTTGCCATGGCAATGCTGGAGGAAGAAAGAGTGGATCAAGTTGTTGGTGCTAAGAATAATCTACAGCTAAAACAAGAGGAAAGCAAGCAGGCAACGCTTCTTTAGAGAACAATGAATGAGGTGAAGCAATATGAATGAAACCACATTTTTTCCATTAATCTCTACCCTTTACACTTAAATGACTTCTCTTTTTGTATAAGCCACTAACAACTGAAAACACTGCGATTTCTTGAAACAGGCAGGGGTTTGCCATAAGTCCCCCAGCCCCAACAAAAAATGGTACCACATTACAAGCAAACCTAACGGTACTCTTCCAGCATTGGTTTTAAATTTAGAAGTTTGTTTAATCACAGATTACTTTGACTCTAGAGAGCAGATGAAATTTCTTGTCTGCCATCAGGATATGACAGGTGCAGAAGTATTAAGCAAATAAGAGCTGACTCACACTTAAAAATCAATTTGCAAAGCGAATGTGCTGGTTGAGAGGAGACCTAAGTGCAGTCTGAGACCTGACACAGTTCGTGGAGCTTCACACAGAAGGTTTCTGGACAATCAGGCTGGGACATACAGTCACAAGGTCTTCGAAAGCATTTAAATACCAAGAAGTCTCGGGATCTACTTGCTTTGTCTCAAGCTTAAGTCCCCTGACTCTTCCCAGCAAGCCCAACCTGACTGTTTTCCGTAAAAACAGTTGGTTTTGAAGGAGCTGGTGTGTAACGAAATCGTATCAAATGATGCTTCCATCACAGCACAGGTAAAATGCATTTTTTGAGCTTTGCTCCTTATTAAGAATATCACCCATGGGTATGTAGGTTTTCATTCTCTGTTTCTTTACTAATACATGGGGTAGCTTGTAGGTACTTTATCCAAATATAAGAACACAACACAGGTGAGTATAAAACAGAATTTCCCACTTCAAATTTAATACATTCTGGAAGCTGGAAAAAAGCACCTGTGCTCTTAAAAAGAAGACATTTAAATGAATATTTAAAAAAAAAAACCCTATTCAGCTGACAAAAATTTTTCTCTACCTTAAGTTTCTCTTCAGCTCATAAAACCGAGTTATAGGATGAAGAATGAAAGGGTAGGCTACTGCTTGCAGCCCCAGGTAGTATTTCATGTAGCTACTTCGAACGCAAGAGCTTTGTCAAGACAAACTGCATGGATTCGTTTACATCTAGAGAAACAGTACATAAAAGTTTTGGCTCTGGAGATATGGTGCTCAAGAAGGAACAGTATGACAAACACTGCTCTCCTTGGCTGGCATGCATTTCAAAAATAAACAGAGTAGGACATAAATACAACACGGCCGGATAATAACTCAGAAAATTATACCTATATTGCTGCTGGCTATATTTACGTGACAAACAATGATCAAAAGTTCTCCGACAAGTTTGTGAGCCTTAGATATGGAGGGAAAATGTTCTGGAAGAATAAAAGTTCAGTGGAACAACACAATCCAACAGACAGAAATATGAGAAAAGAGAACTAAAGCTGTAATTTCAGGGGAGAACAGATAGGAAAAGGCGAAATGCTTCTTTTACCCAATACAGACATCCAAATTTTAAGAGCATTTTATGGTTGCTCACACTCAGTGTCTGTACACAAACACGATACAAAAATCACAGCTAACGAGCATTATTTCTAAGGAGAGGCAGGTACAAAGCACCAAAACACACAGTGCAAGCCCAACACTATTCTCAAGTTCTGCAGTATAAACTGGATGCTGCATTTGACACAAAAATGCAAAAATGGAAAAAAATGAAAATGGAAAAGCGGGGAGGGGGAAGGAAAAACCTGCTACCACCTCTTCAGGTGGAAGCTGCCTTTTCCCACTCTGGTTTTGCCCATAAAAACTAAGAGACAACACTCGGGCTTTGGCTGGGTGATAAGTGGTACGGTTTTGGTTTTAGCAGTAGACAAATTCATGACACAAACATATGTGAGACAGAGGTGACAGAAGGGCCAGCCTATGGCTTTCATAGCTTTCAAGTCACAGAAGATACTCTTCCAAAGGCTTTATACAGCAAGTTCTTTTAAATAGAACAACAAGCATTGACAGGGCAGATGAGTAAGTTATTTTAAGGTTCTATTAGCATTCCGGTAAACCTGGACATACATTTGGAAATCAGTCATAAAGAGAATGCAAACAGTTTGGTAACACGTAGGCGAAACCCTGACATTTTCAATCAGCAGCTCTATAAGAATAGATTTAACATTTTAATACTAAGTTTTGAAGTATTAGATTTTAAAATAAAATAAAAATGGAAGTTTCAGGGTAGAACTAAGAAAAACCTTCAAGCATTTTTTTATTTACAGCCAGCTATTTAGCAATTTTTCTTCTATACTTTTGAAGTGCCAAATTCAGCACAAAGTAGAAACAACACTCATGGTTAACGGGAGGCAACAGGGCTTGCAGTCGCCTCCGTGGTGTTTATAAAGGGGTTGCCAGAATCCGTTAACCAATGCCCTTTGTTTCTGCAAAAAGAACAGAAGAAAGTCTACAAAGCTTATCCTCTTCGACTGCGTAGTACTGCCACTCAGCACATTGCGTATGTGTGTTCCTGGGGATATACTAACTCCTCTAACCCATAAATGCAACTCGTTTATTGGGTTACATGGGACAGCCCTTTCAGGACTGAAATTACAAGAAACGAAAGTGAAAACTAGGTGGGAGGAGAAATGAAGAATCGCATCATTGCCCACCCCAACAGTGCATGAGCATACAAGGTAAATATCTAAGAGAAGGTGTTCACAGAAACTCTGAACAGCGAATAAATGGCTGCATAGCAATACAGAAAAAGCAGTTACCACCAAGGGCTGAAAAAGGGGCTACAAAATTAGAACAGCGAGTACAGCAAACCGTGAGAAGATACGGCATTTGACAGATTACATACATTTACAACTCAGCAAACAGGTATTTTAGTCCTCAAAAGTAAGAAGCAACAAACTTGCAAAAACATTTGCTATTGAGAAGAGCACTCAGGAAATTCTGAATTACTAGAAACCAAGTTGGAAAAAAAAAAATATTTCCTAGCTGTGCACAGGAAAGCTTGTTCAGTAACCTACAGCTTCTTATCTCACACCCCACACGGACCTGATACTTGTCCAGATGAAGTTTTAATACAGCGTTTCTCAAAGCACCCCTGAATTAAGCCGCATGTTTTCATAAGACGCATCCAATGACACATTAAGGCATTCATTAATTTACAGAAGTGAAAATACAAGATGATTGCCAGGGTATGAAGTGTTCCTGAGACACCTCCAAAGTGCCTTTGAAAATAATTATTACAGATCATCATGGAACACAAGGTTCCTGCTTTAACATCTGAGGGGTGAAACCGTCCATTTCATATAAAAAGGCAGGATGTAACTGTGTAAGTTTATGTATTACACAATTGGAACATTCTTTGTTTCTTTTATCCAGTATATTGACAAACTTAGCTCAAAGGGCTAGATTTTACTGAAGAGCTTCGAAGAAAAAAAAAAAAATTGTAGCTATTACCATTTTTCATATGATACGGCCTAGTAATAAAATGTAATCTTGATATCCATGAACAAGAGTTTAACTGGATTCTAGCTACCATTAACAAGTCAAAATTCAAGTAAAAAGCACCGTTCTTCCTGCATAATTTGATTACTCAAAACATGAGCTAGTTTACCCAAGCCTTTTTATCTGTAAATGAGAGTATTAAATTTAAGAACTACCAGAAAACACACAGCTCCTGGGGAGTCCACTGATGGGTCTTGCACAGTCTTAAGTATTGCAGCTTTCTCATATCCTTCATCAGACAGTTTTGGTTCCATTCCCATCCCTAACATATGCTCATTGACTTACTGTTGCCATTTTTTCACTGACAAATGCATTTTAAAAAAAATTAATCATATTCTTCCCATTCACAATATTGGCCCCATTTAGTTATTCCACACCATAATCTCCCCTGATCAAGAATACCTTTTTCTTACATTTCGAAACTTCTACACAACATTTACAATAGAAGATTAAACGCTTCTTACTGAAATCAAGATGACCCTGATCTAACATTTTATTTGGAAACTAGCATGAACTAATCTTGGTGCTGCATTGGCTTGAACTACTAGAGTTGGGTGTAAACCAAGTTTCTAAAGCCAGATGGTGTTCTGCTCTCTGTATTTAATATTAAAGCACTACTGAAGCACAACATTAAACACTGCTGCACTACTGGAGAAGTCTCTTCTAGGTAAGCCCAAGGTCACAGCCACAAAGAGCCCACCCACGTCTTCCACAAATCTGCAGGAACCTCTCAAATTCCTGTGCTTGCAGCCACATTGCCTCAAAATTCCACTCACATTTCAAGTTTGTCCTTGAACGTTCAGTAGTGCTGTGGGTGTGCAAGCAACCAAATTTCTCTTCAAAAGTAAAACAACTGATAGTTGTACATAGTTTGCAGCTTGCACCGGCATAAAAAAGTACAGAGCAATGAACACTTCCAGCCATTATCACAGTCAAACATGCAGAGATACACTTTTAATGCTGCTTGACTTGGAAGCAAAGTGTTTTTACCTAGACAAATGTTTAAGCTGTCGAGTATTTTCACCCCACACAGCAGCCACATACATACAGCATATATTACCAAGTGAAATGTAGCAAAGTCAACTCCTTGCTTCATCCATTGAGACAGCTCAGTCAAATCTACATTGATGAAGAACTAAAAGCTCTAAAGGAACAAGACATGTTTTTCAAAAATAAAATAATTCATCTATTACTGGAACTCCTGCTTCATTTTGTACTCCATGAATCATACCTGCTCATTTAAATTCATGACAACATCTATGATTAAGGGAATGGACGCTGTGACTCTGCATAGAAATGCAAGCTCTAGTTTTAAATTGGTAAAAATTCTGACTGTATCCCTTATTCTTCATGTATACATACATACGTATATATCCATATCTATAAATAAACATAGATGTGTACATATACATATGCACATGTACACACACACAATCTTCCAAATTACTTTAAAGACTAACGTGTCTTTTGATGAAGCCTAAGATGAAAACAAAAGGAACGCTTCCCCAGAAATGCAACTGATTTTGCCTCAATACTCCGGCAGGACTCTTCTGAAAAGAGCTAAGGTTCAAAATCTACCTCATGCCTTTCCATTCTGTAAAGCCAAGACTCAATGCAAGTGAATTTTTCCCTTTTATAAAATCCTAAGTATTACCTAAAGAAATACCCCAAATACATGAGGAGAGTATTTTTTAAAAAAATTAAATCTATGGTTTTGGTCTGGCTTCAGAGTGGAAGGGGATTCATCCAAACTGTTAATATACAAACACTGACAGATCAGCCTGAATCAAGCCTCAGTAACAGTCTTACAACAAAATCCTAAGAACTTGTCACACTGTACATGCAAAACTATAAAAAAATTCAAACTGAGCCAACCTAAAAATATAAGTTGTTGGAAAACAAGAAATAAATCATTTGCTATTTTGGAAAAGTGATAATGTTTGAAAATGAAAACCCGAGAAACCAAACATATTAAGCAAAATCTATGCTTGTATTCAAATCTGGCCAAGAGAAGTGAACACTGTTCCAAAAGAACTGCAGTACAAAGTATCACATCCCACTCGTTTCTGGAAAGAAATATGCTGCAGTAAGAGCCCATATCACGTAATTCATTTAAAAATTGATTAAAAGTTTAGTACTAACAAAACATCTGGAATGACAGCCCTACTCATCGCTTCAGTTACTGCATCGGTTCAGCTCAGGTGCCCATATACCCTCTTGCACAGGTGTTTGCTCCCGTGGAGGAACCAGAGAGGAACCCTCAGGCTCCGCACTTTGGTTCTGTTCTCTACAGAAGGTTCGAGCAAGGGTTTCACAACCAGTGCTAACTGTGGAGTCCCTGGCAATGGGGTCACCGGTACACAGCTTGTCAACAAGAGCCTCTGCACGCCCAGAAAAAGTGGGTTCTCCCCAGTGTTTAGAATCACTGCTTCACAACAACCCCTAAAAAAATAGAGAGTGAATTCTTGACTTCCTGAATTACACCCAAATAATGAGTAACGAACTACAGCAGACAAACCTGGAAGACAGAGCAGTATTAGTAGCCAGAACAAGCTAATTACATCTCATTCAAGGAATCTGCATTCAAACAGCTTCCCCTGCACAATTCCCTCATTTACTCTGTTTACAATAGATAAAGCAATTGATCATCAGAAGCTGGGCACATTTCTATCTGGTACAATCACTTAAAATGCAGCAGGGTTTACCATCAGTTAATACCACACCTGAATACTTGCAGTTACTGGGGATGACAAGAAAAAGAGTAAAGCAAAAATATCACCCTGGTTTCAACAGAGTCAGAATTGAAAGAAGATGATACAAATGAAATTACATTTCCTGCTCGATTTAGTTACAAGTTAACCAGCTCTTTTTCTACAAAAAGGAATGTAGAACATTTTTGGCAACAACTACAACAAGAAGTTCATTTACTACAGATAACAAACGGTGCAACAAGGAGAGCTGAAATCCAGCCTCTTGAAAAATCAAAGTTCATTTTTTAACAGAAGGAATGCTTTCAGTGAACAGCATCACAGAGCTCTGACCCAAGGCATGCGGTAGGGATCACCGCGTGAGAAGCAGTCACGGTGGAGACAGTCAGTTTGCAGTCAGCCACAGGACTGCAGCTCATGCAAACGAAACTCAAAGCAGTTTTAAACCAGCCAGGACACCTACTGATGACACCACGGAGCTTCTGAGTAGGATCAAAACTGATGGAGGAACCTGGGTGAGCATTCAAGCAGCTGCCCTGTTCTGAGCTCCAGTTTGGCACCGCTACGGTCCCTTGCACAGGTAAAGCGACACGGAGGTTCACTTACCCCACACGCACACTCTCAGCCTCTCTGATGCCACAGAATCAAGAGGCTAGGCAAAGAGTTCAAATGATAAAACACGAGTCATTTTGCAGGAGATTAAGCTTAATAAATCACCATATGCTGTTCGATGCTCTAGTGACTGTAGTGGCAGCAAATAAGAGACTCAACAAGTGTTGAGCATTTTTACTAGACAGAAAAGTAAGGCTGCAAGCATGGCAGTAAAGGAGAGGATTTTTAATCAGGAAAGGACTGATGAACCCAAAGTTAAACAATTATCCACAATAACTGTGCTAAGTTTGGCAAACACCGTTATGCGGCTGTGGTGAGATTATATCCCCATTTTCAGACACTACTGTGCCGACCACTTCTGGTTCATCACTGCACATTAATGTGGTTTAACACTTTCTTCCAGCATGTTAATTATACTGAGCCTACTGTGTGTACTTAAACTAGCCAGCCCTTAATGGACATAGAGCCTTGCTGCACCTCTAATTACTCTTCTTGATCACTTATGCCAGTACACGCATTATCTGAAAGTATCTTACTTGCTTTCTTCCTTTTTTTTTTTTTAAAGCAATAATCTAAAATTTAAAACCATTAAGTCGGGCGCTCTGAATTACTGGTTTGCAAAATCCCAGAGTTCAACAGAAGACTGGGAAGAGCACAGATGGTAAAAGTAATTTATGCTACGGTTCTAAAATTTCTAGATTAGTTAGAGAAGGCATCAGTCAAGTACTCAAACCATGTAAAAAACCCCAAAGATGCATAACTATACTAACAACCTCTCATGCCCTTGTGGTAAAAGCCCTTAACTATACCAGCTGCACACCAGGGTGCTGAACACACTGAAGAATTACAGAAAAATCATCTTGTAGAAGAGTGGAATAGCCCTCACCAGCTCGACCTGAGATTCACTCTGCTCAATCACTCCTTTTGTTTTTGTAGGGGCTATTCACCTTTGAACAGAAACACAAATTTTCTAAACTAGGATATTTAAGCAACACCATTATGTCAACACTGAATAGGAAAAAAATGCCAAAACCCACCACCACTCCATTGTAATACTGCCTACGAGTTGTAAACAATACAGTTGTTGCTTAAATGACTGATATCTTTAGACACAATTCAGTGTAAATGCTGATTGTACAGAAAAGAATGAAAATTAGTAAGTTCACTCCTACCTTATTGTTTCTTCTATCAGCCGATCTGAGCTGAAAGCCAAAAGAAAAAAAAAGTTGTTAAAAAAAGTAACAAGCACCAAGTATTATTTTAGATTACTAAATCAGTGACCACCCTAATAGAAACCGTGACAAATATGCCCTTAGAATGTCTTATTTCAGGATGTTGTCACTTTTTACTACTACACAGATTTGATATGTATAATGAGTCTTGGCAGGAGATGGATGTAGTGCCCTCTGGAGCAGCATTTCCCACCTGTATGCAAGAGTAGGTGCTCAGGAGAACAGGTAAAGACTGCGACAACAGAAAAAAGGGAAATGGGCTCATGATTCATGGCTGATTAACGTTACTGAGCCTGATGTGTACCAGGTGCCCAGGACAGTCTGGAAAGGAGTATTAGAGAAGGAAGCACCCAGTTTTATTGCTTTTTAATCCTAGTCTTTCCTGTCCACCTCTTCAAAAAATGTAATTAACAATAAAAGCTGAGACTTGGTTCCAGGTAATAACATCTCAAAACACTGCTTCAGAGCTAGTTTACCAAACACTGTTTTATGGCGGTTAACGAGGCAAGTTCTTTCTATAGTAATACCAGTTGGATGAGAATTATGACGCCATCTGTAAGAGAAAGACCTTGATAGCATGTGCCCCTTCCCCCTCGCTGCCACTCGTTAATTGAATTTCTATGTAGCATCGCTGGGAAAAGGGCAGCCTAAAATACAGCACCACAGAGAGAACATTTCATTTAAAAAACGGATGTGCAAGATTAAGGTGACAAAGAGCCTCAGAAGACTTGAGCAATTTCTCTTTTTCTGTGCTCAACTTCTTACAGACAGGTTTTTAATCACTGTTTTACAGGCAATTATGAAATCCCAGAAAAACATATCTTGTTACAGCCATCAATATCTCAAATGTAACACTGATACAGAATAGGTGACTGCATCCCTGCTTCCTGTATTGTGGAAAAAAGGATGCAACCCTACAACTGCTCCAGCGACCCCACAGATTTATGCAAACTCTTGTAGAATAACTGAAAAAAAAAAAAAGTGAGTTTGCAGTTCAAGAAGGAAATAAATCTGACAGGAAGGAGTTTTATGTTGTACTGGATATTGCTTCTAGTATTAAAGCAGAATTTACTGCTGCCAAACTAAAAGGATTACAAGACACTGAAACAGCATGACCGTCTTCATCTTCCATCCTCCTGGTTCCAAGTGTTTTGCCACCTCAGGAAGGGAAGGCATCAACAGCCTCCGGCACAGCACAGTTCTGCCTCCGACTCAGCCAGAGCTGCCCAATTTGGAACTTCTCTTCTACCCACAGAAATTCTGGAGATCCCCCCGCACCTCCAGCTGGAGGCACGGCCAAGGAGCACGTTGTGCAGCGTGTGCGCGCGTGTGTAAACTGCTCGGGGGGGAGATGCTAACAGAACGTCCTTATTCATCTGTGAAGGGGAGTGAAAACACGAAGGTTGCTATTTCAGTCTAGTCCAGGGCTCGAAATATGGAGACAGCACACAAAGCACTAAAAATATTTTGCCCAATTTTAAGTTGAGAGGGACTCAAGTGGGGCAGCGAACACTGAAAACACTGAACACTTCTGTCTGCTCCCGAAACAAAGCCACACTCCAAAGATTCACATCAGTTGCAAGGACATTGGTTTAATCAAATAAAACCATTTTCATTCACTCTGTGGTTATTTATTACCACTGGCACAGAGAAGTAAAACACCATGGTTATGTACACAAAATGATGTAAGCAGTCTCAAGTCTCACAGCATCTGATAATGTCCCCAAGGCAAGCAGAACAGAAACGCGATGCATTAAAGAGCTCTGTAATTGCTGATTCTCAAAGATACAAAATTCAACTGAGGATGTGTCTTTCATAAATAGAGAGTCTCCAACAGACAGGGGTATTATGGGCAGTGCATAAGAAGAATAAACAGCAAAAACATCAGAAAACAGTCTGAAAAACAAGAATGGTGCACAAGAATGCACCATTTTTAAAAAGGTTTTTGTTTTTCTTTTTCTTAATTTATTAACAACAAAAACATCAGAGGCCTAGCTGGAAATAAGTTACAGTTACAAAAATTCTGAGGAACAAAACATTGCTAGAACAGTCCTATTAAAAAAAGTCCTATCCTGGAAAAATCATCACCAGTATTACCAGCTCTTTGTCCGTTTCACTGATGAAATCATACTATTTTCATGTCGATGAACTGAAGACAACAGGGAAGTTGAACACATTCAGAGACCTTAAGTGAACTAGGATGTTCTGCAAGGTTTTCAGAGCACAAAAATTAGGCTTGCCAGTTTGCGGCAGAGGCACTAATTTCTTTATGTTAGAGAAAGCTGTAGTTAGGCAGTTTTATTACTTAATCAGGACCGTAAACACAAAAAGCATTTAAAAGCTTCAGATTCTATTATATTATATGGCATTATTTTTTATATATGTAGGTACGTATACAGACTCATAAAACTAAACCCTGGAAACACAGCTACCTGTGAAATGATGACCAGCAGAAGTTAACAAAAATGTGTAAACCCAGTAATAAACAGTTCTCAATATCAACAGCCAAGGACACCAGATGCAAATGCCAACACAAGGCATTTAACAGGCATCTGAAGTCGCAAGACCAATGTTTCTCAACTTACATGGAGGGCACCCCAACTATTTAAAACAACGAGATGCACGTTAATTTATCTTCAGAATGACTGATGTATAGGTAAGGGCAGACTGAGCTAACTCTTATAGTCTTAAATAAACAGCTGGGAAGCACACAGATTTACTAAACTGGATGTTCTTCCCACCCCAAGAAGCATCACCTTTTGATGGCCCTGAGAGGATTTCCAAAACCATCTCTACTTGCAAGTCTCCAGCAGGTGAACAAACCCGAGCAGAAAACGGCAATGACACTCACTGAAATGTTGGTAAAGGCAGCGTGAGCAGGGACATTTTATGGTAAAAATCTGCACATCAGAATCCCTCAGAGTTCTCTGAAGCTTAATACTTCCAAGCAAAGACAACAAATCCAGCGGACATTACCTTATGAACATCCAAGCAAGCAAACGATGGTTCTGGGCAACATTAATCTCATCTGCCATCTGTTTCAATAGCTATGCATTTTCACCTGTCGAGGCAGATGGCACTTTGACAAAGCCATTTAAAAATACTATACAAAAGAAACGCGGAAAGATGCTGAGGCAATCACCTACTGTAATAAGTGGCACAAACCCAACAGTAGCAGTCGTGCATATGAAATAATCAGGCCTCTGTGCAACTGCTGTCTTCAGAAAAGACTGTGCAGTTTGTCATTTAAATATGCAGACAGGTAAATGAATCCAAAGGAAAAAATTAAATGAAATATGCCTCTAGGATAGAAAAGAAGCCTGCCCATCACATCAAGCTTTTACAACTAAAGAAAGCATTTTATGTTCTTCTAAAGCAAATTTCTATTTCAGTAGTTAAAACTCAGTAATACAGGTGATTACTTAGGTGAGGACTGGGCTCTCCCATACCCACAGATCTTGCTGCTGACTTACTAGCTAGATACCAAACACGAGCACTTGTCAGAAAAACAAGATACAGCAGTAACACTCGTCTGCACACAACACATTTCACAATGCATTTTAAACCCTTCAGATGAAATTAAGGGCAGTATTATCACAAAGAATAATTTAAAATGATTAGGGACAAACCCTGCAGAATAAACTAATATAGCACTTGATAACTTATTTTTTTACTTTCATAACAAATAATTACAGAAATAATAATTTTACTTTGCTCTTTCAAGACCAATCACTAGTCTCAGCTCTCAAACCTCATGCAAGAAATCTTTCACAGTCCTGGATCACCAGGCAACGTGGAGCTTCCAGGAATGCAAATACTGCAAAACATACTTGATAATCTAATACAAACATACAGATTAGGATGAAGCAAATCAGACTTACACAATCAGTTATTTCTATCATAATAATAATAATTCCCAATTCAGAAGTGAAATACACACTGTACACACACACAAGAACAACTCCAGCTCCAACTCATTTTTTTCTGCTTGCCACCAATGTACCTTATAATCTACAAAATTCAGAAGATCATTAAGATCTTTAAAAACTTAAGTAGAAGAATGTAAAGCAGAACACTTTTTTTTTTTTTCCTGTAACAAACAAGGTATTCCAGATTTTTCTAAGACTTGTCTCAAGCTTGATTCAACTTAGTGTCAAAGAAAGAGTGAATTCCACCAGAGCTGCTCAGCTAGTTTGGACAGTCTCCTACAGTTGCTAATGAAAACAAAAACTGGTGCAGAAGCTTACTCACTGACTGAGACCCAACACAAGAACGTGGCGAGACAAACGTACCTAGGGTAAACAACACCCAAAGAGAGAAAATTTTGTGCAGACACCACCAAATTCGCTCCTGTGTTTTTATCAAAGAGCAGAAGCAGCACCTGGGAGCAACAGCACAGGGAGGAAAAGGAATGTACTTGACTACGAAGCATACACCCTGTGTTTCCAGCATGAGAAGAGCCAGCTGGCCAAAACCAGAGACTTGAGGTGAAATGGGCATTTTCAGGGATGAACGGTTGCCCACAGAAATCGTGCTGAAAGCAGAGAAAGGTTCAAATACCAACAGAAACCGCTAGCTTTTGCAGGTTCCCTTTATATGTTAATTAAAGCATAAACCTGCATGCTAAGTAGCTGCAATGTTTTCATGCTTTCTGTTGCCGTAGGCGAAATGAGGTAAGAGCCTACAACAATCAGACATAAAACCCAGCACAAACACGAGCATTAAGTCAATGTATAGATCTGCTCCAAAGGAACAATATGTTATTAACAACATCACACCTACAAACTCTAAATACGTAACTAAGCTTATTTTGACAGATCATTGTACTGGGGAGTCTGACGCTCAGTAATCACTTTCAGTAAGAATGAGGAATAGTTGCAAAATTGGAAATGAAAAAAAGCACAACAGCACAACGTCACGCTGCTTTTAATCAATGCGAGCAATTTGTTAAATCTAGAATGAAAGGGACT